ATCCCTCAGCTATAGTCATAAGCAATAAGATCGCGGATTCAAGCAGCCGAAATGAGTTCCTCCCGAAGGGTGCGCTGGGCTGAGCCTTAGAGATATTGTAAGGAGTTTAGACATTCTGTGGAAGCTTGGAGTAGGAGCCACTACTCATTGGCATCAAAAGGAGCCAATTAAGGTGGTTGGAGCATCTTTTGAGGATCCTCCTGGACACCTCTCTTTGGAGGGTTTACAGGCGCGCCCAAATGGGAGGAGACCCAATGGTAGACCCAGAGCTCGCTTGAGGGATAATATATCCCACCTGGCCTGGGAACACCTAGAAATTCCCCAGGAGGAGTTGGGGAGATGGAATTCCCAACTTTCCCTGTTGCCACAGCGACAAGTGCTCTCGGATAAGTGGAAGAAAATGGATGGATGGAAAATCTGAACTTGTGTCACTCATAGCCACAATCCTCAGAGAGTATGTTTCGAATCATGCAACTTCTCACACGTTTTACAGGTTATTGTTTCAGCTCTGACCAGTTTTTTCTTCAACCAGCATTAGCTTGATCTCAAAGAGCTTTCTGTCTTTTATCCTCTTTTACTATCCTTCTTTTTTTCCAAATACAAACGGCTCCTGTCAGATCAATTCAGGCCAAAAATGCTCTAAGGCTGTAAGACACACGGGACCCCTAACACCAATGTTGTGTTGATGCTTTAGGTGTTTGGCACGGTACAGTACAAAAATAAAATGCTCTCAAATATTATTGTTACAGTAAGTGTAGCAAACTGCAGCCTGAATGCTCAACGATCTCTCTCCTCTCCCACCCACAAATTCAGCCTCCGCTCAGAATTACAGCAATTTTTGTGATTTATGGCCAAATGGCGCCGTAGTCTACCTCCTGAGTTTATGCTGAGAGCTCGTGGGAGCCGTTCGGTTCAGGGTTGGGGAGGGAAACTAAAAAGGCCCGACTGCTGCTGCTGCTACTGCTGCTTTCCCATTTCATGGTAAATCTCCAGAGAATGAGACGGAGGCGTGCGAGTCAGCAAAAGCACAGTTCTTCTGAAAGCAGCAATTTATATGCACACGCTTTCTGTATCATAGAGTAATAAAACAGCTGATTAAGTGACTTTTCACTTTTAATTGCCACTTGTATGGGGGCTGTGTGCCTGTAGCCCTGCTGTGCATGTGCCACTGTTGTTCAGACCCCCTATGGAGGGGCATGACTTTGATTATATGGACGTATATAATCAGGATCTGGTGTCCCAGTGGTGTAAGAAAATAATGGGAAAACTTCAGCCAAAGCAGAATGACTGTGACATAACCTGATGGAAATTATCCCAAAGTTAGTTTCTTCTCTCTTCTGACTTCTCCATAACAAGAGATTTTTTTTGTGGGTAGTATAATTTAGCCGATCCTTTCCTTGGCGTGGTATTTGGTTGATTGATTAGCAGCACAGCATTGATTCTCTCAGTGATTCTCAAAACTAAATCCTTCAGTCCCTTTTTGTACCTGTGCTGTAATCCAAAGGCTCAGTCATGTTCTGTCATCAAGCTAAATGTTAAGCATCACTACATGAACCTGAAAGGTTAGCTCAAAGTATTTGACACAACACAACCCAATGAACAGTGTCTGTACTTTCTTCTAAAAAGAGAGAGAACGCTGTTTCCTTATCTAAAGCTTGGCCGATACTACACCAGCTACTGACCTTCCCATGAAACCAACATGGATCCTCTAACAAAGCAAACAAGATTATTCATGTGTGCAGAATGATTCCTTCATGTCAAGTTCAAATCGTCACTGCACCAAAGAGGGAAAAGTCTGCACTTGCTCAGGTTCGCGTGACTCCTCGCCTTTTCTTTAAATGTTTGCTAAATCTGCAGCGCCACAGAATGAAAGATGATACTGTGCAGCTGAAGATCGAGCAGCTCTGTTCACAGCACGATGAATGTCCTTCAGCAATACTCTGTCCTCGATGATCTTCACCTGCAGCCCTTCAATGTAAGAGAAGAAAGCGTCTCACTTCGGGCACATTCAAAGCAGAACTGTAACTGAAGACGTTATGTGATATTTCTACCAGAGGCCCTTCTGCTCTGTTTTTAAGCTTGGAAATAAACAACAGCAGTCCTAATCTCGTCTCAGCTCGCATATCTGCCCCTGAGCCCTCGCCGTGTCGAGACAAATCTCAGCATATGTGCTGCTGCTGCTTTTCTTTCATGCAGCCAGGAGCAACAAAAAAAAGAAAAAACTAAATGTGCTTCATTAGAGGCAAAAAAGTGCACCGTGTGTCTTCAAACAATTATCGAGCTGGAGATTTAATTTAGCATTTATTGTAAGAAACCAAAGCATGAAACAAATGACATTTGAGAGGATAAGACATTATGAAATCAGACATGCTGTAATTTAAGTATCTATAGATTCCTTCCCAACATCCAGCAATTAATGATACAAAAAAGTTGTTGTCATATTTTGGCTAAAACTTGACAAACTTGAGATTTCAGTGATCAGTTTGTTAATTTTTCCAGACATTTCTTTGGGATATAGAAAAAAATAAATATTTACAAACATCTATCTAAAACTGAAGAGAAAAGATGGACACAAATAGGAGTTCCTCAGAGGAAGTTACAGAGCCCAGTGAGCCGTTTAATGCTAAGCTGAGCTTGTATCTTTATCCCTACCTTACCAACACATTAAATATTCTCTGGGCATGAAAACACAAATTATCAAACAGGTTGCTTTGACCTGAGGCCAATTTAGAATAAAAACATGTTGTGCTGGGTACAACAGACTCCCACCCTGCTGTATCCTGGCTAGCCAGAGCAGCAAGCCGGCTGCAACATGGAGCTGTCATTTGATTTTTAATTGCAGCTGCAGTGCCCCTAATCAGATTTTATTGGAATGCAAACATTCAAAGCCAGCAGCCGTGATTTAGAGCCTGAGAGAGACAGCCAGACATTGATTCCATAACCTTTCCGAAATGATCCGGGCAGCTCTCACTCCCTCTCACTCAGTCTTTCTGTTATCAGTTGTCATTATAACAAGCAGCAGGATTTCGGCGGGGGGGGGGGGGGAGAGACCCCCTGTGAGCGTCCATCAGTGGGCGAGGAGCGGGGATGAACAGAAATTGATTAGCTGTGCGGCCGTCTCAGACAGCTCTGTCGCAGTGCCGGCTGTGTTTGATGCCAAATGACAGCGAAGTGAATGTCTGCAGAAATAATGAGGTGGACTACACACGCCCCACATGTCAGACTCTACCAATCAATGAGTGTGTGTAAACAGCCAATAAAATCGCTTCTGCATGTGTGTATTGTGGTTATTTTTTAATTGCCAGTATAAACAGAAGAGTCCGCAGTAGACTTTGTGTCAGAGGTCTCTGGAGGTGTTACGGTGAGACGACTGGGAGGTCTGGAGGTCAGAGGAACAGGCTTGTGACTGGACTGCTGTAAGCTTCTCTCAGACGACTGAGGAAAATAGCCTCACAGCTCCAGTTGAGTCATCCTTTGATTCAATTTTGACTAGAGGTCTGGACTCGAGTCACATGACTTTGAGTTGAGTCACAGAATTGATGACTTTGGACTTGAGATGACATCATCAATCAATCAATCAATCACATTTATTTATAAAGCACATTTAAAAACAGCAACAGCTGACCAAAGTGCAGTACATGAAACAAGAGCAATACAGATTAAAAAACAAACAATCATCATTAAGGACTTACAACTTGTCTCGGAATCAGGGAATTTGACGAGGAAAATCTACGTTTTTCCGACCAAATGAAGTGCTTTCATAAAAACATGCTGAGTTTTAAGCGTGTTTGGTGAAGCTGTGTGGTGGACAAAGCAACAGTGTTAAACCAGGGTTCTAGAAAAATCCGACCTGCTTCTTTTGGCTTCACTCCCAGGCGCCTGATGCTCTGTCCATGTTAATATACAGTCTAAGGTTTAGAAAGTAAATATCGCCAAATTAAGTTTCTGATAAAGACTTTGCTGAGTTTAGAGATTGAAATAGTGTCCTATAGGTGCTGTAAGGGTCTCAGGTGTCTAATAGTGTCTCTGTTTTTTTTCTGTGGTCGTCAAGGTGATGTAAACATGTTTGAAAGAGAAACATGGCCGCCAGTGTTTTTTTACCCTCCGAGCCTCCACGCTGGTCACCTGAATGAAACCTCTGAACAGTTGTTGAGACGTTCAGTCTGGAATTAAGTGTTGGACAAAGACAACACTGTTGATGTCAGGAGCATCTGTGTAGCTCTCAGAAGGGAAAAACAAACTCTGACTGTTTGTGTATTTATTTGCTTTCAGTTTGGAAAACTCTTCTCCCACCATGGCAGCGACGGCGGCGTCTTTGTGTATAAGAAAAACACAGAGACAGTTGGTACGAACAGCACGGCAAACTTCATTAAGAGAAAATACAACAAACCAGCTCAGTAACTCAGAGAGAGATTTTTTTTTTAAATGCATTTTTGGGGCTTTTTGCCCCATTCATGCGGCATGACCTCACTGCTAGGGCATCTGTGTCTAGGTGCAGCTATAACCGGCGTCTCTTTATTCAAACTTAAAGACTAAATGTGCATTCTTTACAGCAGCTGCAGAAGTGGTGAGATATTAAAGTTTGATTATAGAAGACCAAGAACATTTACATTCAAAGGATTTGCCCTCTTCTGTTTCAGGGTTAACATCCATTGGGGGGAAATTTTTTGTCACAACAGCTCAAGAAACAGGAATATAATTATCAAAAATAATAAGAAGTTAAAAATCAAACAAATTCAGGTAGCCCTTCCTTATCATAAAGACAAATTGAATTCAAAGGACCCTCTGGTGCTTTACATAGACGAGAAACAAGAAGAATACAAGAAAAAACATGACTGAGACGAGTATCTCGGAGTCTGATGGGGAGGCGGAGTTACCAGGAGGTTGTAGGCTGTGAAGGACAATTCATCTCCAGAACAAAGAGGTCAGCATGTTTTGATTCTACTTTAATGCAAAGCAGCCCAACACCCCCTCCCCCCCTCCCATCACCCTGTCCCTTGCTAATAGATTCCCAGGTGGTCCCAGAAGTCGCACACATGGTTCCTGGTTCCGACCTGTGCGTGTGACCGAACTGTCAGGTTCATCATCAGCCAGCCACTGGTGTCAGAGTAGCGCGGCCAAACGGGGAGACGCTGCTCTCGGCAGAAAGTCGACTGTTGGACCCGCGAGGAGGGGTTGCCGGTGTGAGCGAAGGCGCCCCAGTAACACAGCATCCGATTGGACAGCAGCTTCTCGGGAGGCGAGAGCGTGAAGTTGGCAACCGAGGCGGAGTGGAAGAGAAAAGGCAGCTCGGCGCCGTGGCAGACGTGCTGATAGCAGAAAGTCAGACCTGACCACACGCGGTGATCCGACGCCACGTGGTCGAACGTGTACATCCACGCCTCGCTTCCCGCTGCTGTGGCTGCCCGCGCCGACCTCCTGGAAGGACACAGGAAGACGTAGTCTGTGACAATCTGGGAGAGGGAAGACAAACACCCGGTTAGCTTGCAGATTAGCTTGATGGAACATTCAGTCTGTCCGTCAACTCTGTGATTTCATGGATTTGTAAATGGACTGGACTAGAAAGCTTGTCTTTAAGCGCCTTTACACTGCAGGTCACACCTACACATTCTCTGGAGAAGTATCGGGATGCGTTCTCACATCAGCTCACTCAGACTTTCTGCGGAAACAATACTAGGTGTGTCTGGCCAGAGACCCTTTAGACCCTGGCTCCTTATAAATCCACAGATCTAGTACAAAGATGATCACCTCTGGCTTTAAAAAAAAAAGAACTCAAGATGGGGACAAATGCCCGACTTGAGGATTACAAACTGTAGTCCACAAACGTATTGGTGACATGAAGGAGGCTAACACTTCTTTAATTAGAGCCTATGTCTCTAAACCTAAATATCTCAAAGCAGATTGTATTTGTACAGACATTATTGGTCCCAGGAAGATGTTTTCTTGGATTATTTTGTTGTAATGGGCTTCTAAAAATGTTGATCCTCTGACGTGTTGCTTAGCACTATCTTGACCTTAACTTTTGTGGTTTTGAGTAAAAAATACCTCAAATACAGAACCAATTCCCATGAAATCCTGTGCAAAGATTCATGCTTGTACTCACTTTGACCATTTATCCTGAGCAGTAATCAGGTTGATTGATGATTAGGCATGCCTCCTTTCTAAACTAATTAAAATCCATGTTAAGCATTGCCACAGTACACATACTATCCTGATATAAAACAGAGGCTCACAGTGCTGCTTGTGTCAGACAGGAGGATAATTTAAGCCTCATACGCCTTTGTTGTCATTTTTTCATGGGTGCCCTTCATGAACTGATGTGACTCACAGCACACAAACAGAAACCGTGGCCTTACAAAGGATGTTCTTTTATTACTACAAATACATTTCCTCATCTCCTGAAAACACTTTTTCAATCCTGGGCATCATCACACAAAGGTCCCTCACTGGTTTTTCAATGTCATGTTGTTTTTTTCCTGTAATTGAAGTCTTTTATTTCTAATTCCCACCTTTTTCTAAATATAGCCAGTTCCAATGTATTTCATGCTACAATAATAACACATGAAGAGGCTTACTCTGAATGGAATGATACAAAACACGTGTAAGTAGAAACTTTATATAATACCCTATACCAGTGGTTTCCAAAGTGGGGGTCAGGACCCCCCGGGGGGTCATGAGACACTGAGAGGTCGCATGATTCATTCCAAAAACATAAAAATCAAAAATATTATCCATTATTGTGAAAAATACAAAAATGTAAGAGATTACGGGTTTTCTACTTCAAGCGTTTCTTCCATTAAATTACTAAATTAATAATACATGTTTGGGCAATAGTGTGCCTCGCTTTGCACAACATTAAACATTTTGACCACCTCTTTGGCACAATGGGTTGCAGTTGCTAGCATCGTTTTTTTCTGGTTTGGGAACCCCCCCCCCTGCCCTAAACAACACTTTTCTGAGAGACTACTGGCCTTCAGATTAACAAATTATGTATAACTTGTCAGCATTTAAAACTTTATTTATATGTCTTTTTAACTGTATATACATTTTGTATTATGGTATCTTATCACTAAATCTGATGAAGAACATATCATTTCTCGTCTCAGTCTAATTCAACACAAAGCTTGCTCGGTCTTGATACTGATTCTTTGTTGTCTCACAAGGGGAAATTGGTCTTGCAGCAGGAGCAGACAGAAGACGACAAACACAAGGACAACATCGCAGTAAAATAAAAATAAAAACAGAGTTATAAAATCAGAACACAAATGTGCAGTAAGTGCAAGAAGAGCAACCTGAGGACTAACTGATATTTAATGTAGTCATTGCAACGGGGACAAATGAAACCTGGAGTCTTTTGGTGTTCCTCAGGAGCTCTGAACGACAACCTGAGGGTAAAAGCTCGAACTCACTATGAAGTGTGATTTCTTCTTATGACAGGTGAATTATGTACAGGAGCTTTGGGACTTTGAGCCCTGGCTGATATAGTGTTGTAAATTCTGGTATGATTGTAAAAATGACACCGTTCACTTGTTCTTTGGGACAATGAATCCTGGAAATACAAGCTGCTTTGCCAGATGAAAAAGTAACGCACTGTTGGAGGATTAGGCTTTCCACCGCAGCCTCTTTGTTTCTGTGTTTTTGTGTGTTTAGTGTTTCAGAAGAAAAGAAAGAGAATAAACCTCATTAGCGGGATATCTACAAAGAGAGGGGCTGGGGCAGAGCAGCCGAAGAACGATTGTTCCCTCTCGGCTAAAAGGAAGCAAAAAAGAAAAATGAAGATAGGACGTCTTCTTCTGCCTGTTACCTGGAAACCAGTGTGTCTTTTCCAGCAGCACACAACCTGCGCCCACACAACTGCAGGTCTGACACCTGAACACATGCGGGCTGACTGAGGGAGGGATGGACACACATTCACACATTCACTTCTTCACACACATATATTTCTGTTTCATGTTCAAATAGATTCATACACTGGCGCATACTGTGACTGAACACTAACTGACCATATTTGACCTACAGGGTGAATACCTTTTGTTGCGCTTCTATCCTGATTGATAGACAATTGTGGGGCCGACTTCTCAATCACAAAAGCACACGATGCTTTAAAGGTCACATATATACAAAATACTCTTTACCATGTTTTCCTAACACCAACATGTGTCTCTAGTGTCTCTACAAACTCCTAAATTATGAGAAAAGTTCATAATGGTCTGCGTCTTCTGCCTGCTCCACTTTTCAGAAAATGTGTGCTCAAACAGGCTGTTTGGAGATTTTCCCTTCATGACATCACAAAGAGCAGTAGCCCCTCCCCCAGGTGGGTGACACTCCCACAGCTAGGTGTTTGTTCTGCCCTCTGAGTCTGCCTTCTCACCGTAGACATAAGGGCATGGAGAGAGAAAGCCCGAGACACCCGAGCCCTTCCAGAGAGGGGGCGTAGTCAGACACCGCTCATTTACATATTTAAAGGTAAAGAAAAAAGAAACAGCCTGTTCTGAGCAGGGCTGGAATAGAGGGGTTTATAGACATGATCAAATACAGGATCAGAGTGGATTTAGAACAAGAAACTTCACACACATGTTTTGGGAGCTTTGAGAATTACTTAAACTGGTTAAAAAGGAGAAAAGAATATGTGGCCTTTAACATCTTTTTCCTAATGGGATGATAATTTACCTAAAAAATCTCTTACTGTTCTGAATAAGTCTTGAAACGGTCACAACTGAGATTGTAACCTCATGAGGAAAAAGTTTACAGATGATTATATATCAACTGAAAAGTCAGTTCAACTTCTACACCATCTGAGCTGTTTTTGCAACCTTTCAAATTAAAATCTGCCTCTACAGCGTCTAGTTAGGTTAACCTATGAGAGCAGTGTTTGCTGTTGGGTACATTCCTTCCCAACATTTGTGTCACATTGTTATCATGCACTAACAGAGTGCCAAGTAATCCAACTACTATAAAAGCAAATTAAGCAAATATTCGTCCACTCAAAATTAAAACACACCCTCAAACTGAGTGGATCTGCACATCTCTGTGTGATGTTGTACAGAGGCCCGAGATATCAGAAGCAAATGATTGATTTCCTTTATGCAATTTTCTCAAAGACTACAAAAGTTTGTGTCATTTTTTTGTATTAACAAATAGTCAATCAGTTTGTTTTTTTTGTGAGTTTTGTGAACCAGTTTTGACACAATAAGCTTCAGCCAGAAGCTTTTCAGCAGCTTCATATCAGTCCGAATGGAGGGGTATATCTTTGTGTTATCTGAGTTTGTGTAAAAGAGAGGAAATACACACCACAAAACTATAAATGTGACAAAAGGCTGGACACTGAGCTCTCCACATCGGCTTCCTCTGTGACGGACTGCTTGACATTTCTGCTGACCCGCTCAGTTCTCTGGAGAAATTCCCTTCATGAAGAGATGCAATAGGTGTGTGTGTGTGTGTGTGTGTGTGTGTGTGTGTGTGTGTGTGTGTGTGTGTGTGTGTGTGTGTGTGTGTGTGTGTGTGTGTGTGTGTGTGTGTGTGGGAGGTCAGGCTACAGTTGTGACTCCACAGTCTCCCTTCTGCTCCATGAACTGTGACTGAATACTAAATATGTCCAAGAGAGTCACCTTGTGACCCCTCTGCAGCACCCAGAGGTCTCCATCTCGCACTTTGCATCAACGATCCTGAGAAGGAGAAAAAACTGCTGGAGGTCTTCTTCTGTGTCATCATGAACTACTCCAGCTCCACAGCTACAAACTCACAGCTCAACACTAAGATATAAACACACTGTGATAAGGCATAATGGATGAAAACCGTAGACTAAAAAACGCCTTGACAAAAAATAGGAATGCATGAGTTTATGTTAAGATACTATAGCAGACAATCTTCTTCACTGTCTGATTCTTCTGAAGCCTGGTTTCTAAATCTGCATTGAGTCTGTTGTAGTGCAGGCATGGCAGTGTGAATCACAAAAGCTGTTTTATTGATTTAAGCTACACACCCAAAATATGGAGCAACTCATGTTGAGCTGCTACAGCTGCAGACTATTAGCATTAACAATTAACTATAACATTCATTTAGAAAGCTGTTCACCCGTTTCAATGTGTATATGTGTATTGTGTTGTTTGTGCACAAAGTGAACAAATAGCTGGCACAGCTTTGCACAGTAGCAGTGACACCCTTAGACTACCGGGGGATCTGGCACCTTGAGCTCCTATCTCTCTCCCCCCCCTCTCTCTCCCTCTCTCTCTCCCTCTCTCTGAGTCTGTAAATCTTAGCGACTAACCACATTCTTGGAGGGGACGGCCTGCTGTTATGGACCTCTAGTCCCCATGAAGCAGATTCTTGGACAACTACTGATGCAGTGACTTGTATCTCTGTTTATTTGGGTGATCTGCCAGAAGGAATAAAAGGAGATGATGGATATCTCCTGAAAATACTTACAGCAGTAGCAGCGAAAAAAGAAAGAAAGCAATCACCTGTAAATGGCGATCGCCACCCCAGTGAAAAAAGTCTGGCTCCGCCTCTGCGGAATCAGACAGATGTTGTTGCGGTTTAATCTAGAAACCCTGAAACTTAGCTCGACAAAGCTAACAGCTCATCAAACTTTAGTCGACCTCAAGTAACTGGAAGTGGAAGTGAACATATCCAAGTACAGTTTCTTTAAACCTCAGTATGATGTCATAAACCCAGACACAACTGCATTTGGGTGTTCAGTACATCTGGAAAGGTGAAGGGTTTTGAATGCTCAGTAAACACAAATAATCCTTCTGTCAAGTGTCAAAAGCGATGCGAGGTGTGAAAAGTGGCTTCACTTCTGCTCTGAATGGACACATCCTTAAAAAGAAGACGCTCACATGCTCTGTCGACGTGAAGTGAAGCAGCATGCCCCCCCCCACTGCGTTGCTCTGGCACAGGCTGCATCACAAACAGACACGCTCTGACTCCAGTCGCTGCACATGCTTCACAAACACAAATGAAAAACTGTGGAGTGAGAGAATAAAGAAGAAATGCAGGAGTTTTAGCTCCCTCTGTAGGACAGAAACAGGAGCTGTGTTTGAGAAGAAAGGGAGCTGTTTTATAAGGATATGAAGTCTGCTGAATGTTGATAAAGTTCATCATTAGCTTATCTGATCTAATGCTAGTGGTTTTTTTTTTTTTTTGCAAAAGAGAAATATTGTTTAGAATTCCCCATCAGGCTCATTAGACGTGGAGAAGCTGGAGGGGGAACCAGAGACAGTCCTCGTTTCACGCTGAGCTCGGGCTGGGTGGGACATCGATCCATGCATGACTGCCTGCCTCTCTAAGCCCCTGAATGGGTGTTTATTGATGCAAAGTGTGTGTGTGTGTGTGTGTGTGTGTGTGTGTGTGTGTGTGTGTGTGGGTGGGTGACTGTGTGTGTCTACTTTTAGTCTAAGTGTAATAATATAGGGAGAATAAGCTCTTAAAGTGCAGGTTATAGTGAACACACGCGGCCATATTTCTTTGCATTTCTCACACTAATTTAAACACAGACAAACAAGAGGTTACTGTCTAAAAATAATCCTGCTAAAAACTGGCTGACAGTTTCCTGGCAGCCACTGGAGAGCCTCTAATGTAAAGACAAAGCAAATGAAAGCATTTTAATTATATACAATTTGCTGATCAAAAACTGCTCGCTTCACTTCCCTCGCCTTTTTATAAACTGAACCTTTCTCTCTAAACTTTTACTGTCTCTGAGCTTTAATTAGAGCGTCCTGTCACAGAAGAAACGCAGCATCCCAAATGGTTTTTTATAATTAGTCTTTTGAAAACACTTTGCTACTTTGATTATATTTTTTTTCATCCATTGCTTCTTCATTGTTTTTTGTTTAAATTAACAGTTTACAGGAAGGTTTGAACAAAATGAAAAGTGTTTGAGGGGAAGCTTTGGGGGTCATGCTTTTTTTATGAAAGAGGGTTGATGATAGAGAAACACTCTCCTGTGTTTTTTCAACAAGACTGAGAATCTGCAACTGTGCAGCTTGACATTTGTGCTGACCTAATGTCACATAACCTGTTCCTACAGAGAAGCCTAACATAGCCTCCTGGAAAATGTATCCAAAGCCGGAACAACTTAGCCCGATGTCAGACTTAATGCTCTTTTTGTTTGTTCTGACGTTCACTGTGTCAGCTCGGGAGATCACAGAGTCATACATTTATTGACCGACAGACATGACAGACTACACGATGGTACCCGACCAATCATGACGATTGACCGTAATGACGCTTGAAAAAGAGGGGCGGGGCTAGACAACACCTGGAAAAAAAAGAGTGTAAACAACTGTTAGAAGAGCTCAAGAAACTTTTACTCTCTCAGGTCGATCGAGCAGCACAAACTTCATCATTGTTCTTTGGCTACACCATTTTGTTTGTCTACACTCGTAACTACTGTGCGTGCAGAGAGCTCTGTGCTCTCATTGGTCAACATTACTGCCGTGACAGAACACATCAGAGAAGGCAGGAAGCCTGTGTGGCCTTAATGTGGTTAGCGATGACGAACTCTACGGGACAAGATAGACAGATAGACAGATCCAGTAGCAGGTTACAAAGACGTACATGACATGAAACATTTGTTACAAATTAACCACAAAACCGACGCCCACCCCCCCATACATGTATATTAACCCGAAAAAAGAAAGATTTAAAGAATACCTAGATGAATCAAACTTAAACTGTGCAATTAAAAAATAGACTTATACAAGAAATGTACATAACCCGTGCAGGGATAAAAATATATGTGTAATTTAAATTGCAATTACCTGAATATAAAAAATAAAAAAGTGTTGACCTTCTGAAGTTGTGTTGTTTATATATGTACAGCAATGTTTAAAAAAAAGAAAATCCAAATCCCTACGTCTGCTGGATCGGGCTAAGATTGTGATTATAACGTGTATCTGACCTCTGCATTAGCGTCTCAGAAGGCAGGGCATAACATACAATAGAAGTAAGAATAATTGAATGACATGGTGGTTACACATTGTTCTACCCAGCCTGGTTTACAGGCCAGCATTTTGTTATCAAAGGCAGCTCGACCCTGCAGCATCCTGCCCTGATTTTGTTAGAGCGATTTAATTGTGGTTTGAATTAGTTTTGGTATTTAGTTTACTAATATTTGGGTGTTATTGTTTATTTAATTATTCTCATGTTTTCTTTATTTAGAATAGATTTTGGGTAATATTTTCTTTTGCTAGTTATTTGTTTAGTAAATTTAGTTTTGCACTAGTGTTTTTGTTAGGTATTTGGGTAACACTGTGGGCACCAGAGGTTATTCAGGTTAAGAGGCAGGTAGAGGACCAGCATGCACCTGGGTGGGCCTATGGTTTTTTACCAGCGCAAGAGAGGCTTTTTTTGTTCTTTTGTTTGCTTTCTTTTCAACCAATTAAACCACCAAAAAAAACCGCAGATCTCTTGCATGGACATTGGACTTTATTTGCCTGCGTGCATCACATCCCCCATGGTGCATCAGTGGTCATTTGATTATGTTTGATATTAGTTTATTTAGATTTTTTTTGTTTTGGACAAATAGCCACTACAGCTTTATTTAAGAATATCCGATAAATGGGACTATAGTTCACAAAATGAACACCATATTGTGTTGAGACGAGACTTACAAACGCAATTAGGCCTGTAAACGTTTTAGGAAAATCTTTGATATGGTAATAAATCAAAGGGGAAGTGGGGGAATTTCTGCACACTATCACTATTTTTTGCAAAAAATAGATTCCCCCCCCCGACGGCCAGTGATAAGAATCCAAATTTGAAGAGTTTGAACCTTAGCTTCCTGTTTAAAACAAAAAAAAGCTATGTACTTGTGATGTACAGTATGTGTTTTCAGTAATTACCGATAGACACAAAGACTAAGCATGCTCCTCCTCATATGTTTGACATATAGAGACACTGTCTGCGGTTTGAGCTCCTCTTACCTGAGCGAGCATGTTCCTGCGGTCGGTGTCCCTGTACAGAGGAAGGTACTTGTGCAGGATCCGCAGGGCGTGTTGTTTAAAGATGGCGGTGATGTACACCGTGCTCTCTATTGCAGACACCGGCTTGTTGAAGACACCATACACAAAGATCACCCCTTCCTCTGAGGTCGTACCTGCAGGACAGAAAAGATCAGCCTCGGCCTGTAGACTGGATCTTGCCTGCAGCCTTCTCGTTACACACTCACACAACCCTTTTGTCTTTTGTCTCCTCTGCATGTTGACTTCTTGTCATGACTTCAGGCGGTTTGCACCCAAAAGTAATTAGGCTGCAGCTTTCACCTGTATTCACGAGACTGCTCAGTTTTTACTCAGGATTTCTAACATCGCCTTTAGCTCTGTAAGGATCTTGGGAGTCTTCACATCAATGGGCTCCTGGCGTTGCTCTATTTTATTTTTGCTGATACTCAATTCTGAAAACATGTTCTAAAAGTTGTTTCTAGTCTTTCTCTCACTGAAATATTTACAGCATGATTTGTGGTACATGCTTCTGAGTGCATTCACATAGTTCCCCACCTCAGGCCAAGCTTTTTATAAATCTGTAAATGTTAAATGTCAAAGTCAAAAATCAAACGGTTTGATAGGAGTCATCTGAGCAGTGGAGGAAGAATTGTTTAGGTTTTTTCAACAGTTTTATAATTCCTTTCAGACACTTTTGTCCAAAGAGGCGGACTTCTGAGAGTAAGTACAACACAAGCAAGGATCTATACAGGAGCGCTTCATGGTCTACTTTATCTATTTTCTATTTTAATTTTTGTATTTCATTCTTGGTCTACTGCTGCTCCTTATTTGAACTATTCATAATACCTAATAATATCAAATATGAATTCTAACTCTACAGAAATATGAAGAAGAAGTTTACTGTCTCTGCTTTGGTTTCTTACCCAGCAGCACTTGCTTCTCCTTCTGCCAGTGGCCCTTCAGGAAGGCGGTCACAGCTTGCTCTTTTATGAACTCCCCGTCGATGTGGGGACCCCACGTCTCGAAAACCTCCAGAAACCTAAACGGGTTCACAATCTTGGAACCTGAAATCAAAAAACACATCGCATCCGGTGGTAAACTCATCTGATTTACACAAAAAAAAGGACATGTATCTTTCAGACCAAAGCTGTACAGAGAAAGTACTATCCATCCATTATCTCGAACGCTTGTTTCCAATCGGGGTCATGAGGGGCTGGAGCCGATCGCAGCTGTCATTGGGTGAGAGGCGGGGTTACACCCTGGACTGTTAGCCAGTCAGTCATAGGGCTGACATATAGAGACAGACAACCAAACACATATTTACAATTTAGAGTGACAAGTTAGCCTAGAACATGCAAACTCCACACAGAGGGACCCTGACTGACGGGGATTTAAACCACCTCGCTGTGAGGCAGCAGCACTAACCACCGCACCACCGTGCAGCCCAGAGAGGGAAGTGAAACATGAAAATGATGACTATTTTTGATTGTTCATTTAACCAGGAAAAAGTCTCATTGAGATTAAAAATCTCTTTTACAAGAGTGTCCTGGCCAAGACAGGCAGCAGCACATCTACAGGGTTTCAGACATAAAACACTGAACAACAATAAAACATAAATACAGGAATCACAAAAAGAACCATTCATCAGAATCTGTCATAAGTCATCAGCAACAAAGCGATCAAAAAGGGCAACATGAGTTAGCTAAAACATCTACAGTCAGATATTTCTGCCTCCAGATCATGAAGGCGACCTTTAAAAACATTCAAGGAAACCAGCTCCCGCAGAGCAGCATACTTGAACGCCCTTTTTCCTAATTCACTAGACTTGACATTTTTGTCTCCAATATCCACAGATTTTTTGGGGCTGGAATCGGTCATGTTATCATGAGTCAGCTGATCAATAACAGCATCACCCCTGCAGATATATTACAGTCGATTTGTGCTACAAGGCAGTAAATCCCTCTAATTACCCCTCAGGGCCACTATCCCTCAGATTACACCCTTTGTTTTCCTATAAGTCAGAGCGCCGGATCAAAATGATCTTTTTCATCATCTTTTGGAGAAACATACTATATCAGCCTTCTTATGTAAGTGTGTGGGCAGCCCTGAGCGCTGCTCTAAACCTGCTGAGTGTGGGCCGGTGTTTTTCGGGCGCCCTACTTGTTTTCATCTGGGCGGCCAGGACGGCCTGTGGAGAGAGAGACAGCAGGCAGACGATGTCGCTCACTGAGCAGTTGGTCTGTTTGGCGAAGTCTTTTCCCAGCTTCAGGGCGTCGTGTCTGGGACAGAGTCGAATAGAGATGGAAAAACAGTTCAGATCGAGGTTGTCTGTGACTGGAAGCATGCAGGAGACACAAGAACATCCCTCTGACTGTCAGAAAGTTAAAGAGGAAAACTCAGGCTTATGTCAGCACATCAAGTCTGTAATATTTAGTAATATTAGCAAAAAGCACAAATGAGTGAGACATCAGTTACCTGGTCTTGAGAGGGATGGAGAAGGGCAGACTCTGCAGCACAGCCTGTTTAAACAGAGGTTTACTGCTCTGGATCATCAGGTGAAGACTCACTGACTGAGCACCTGCACTCTCCCCAAATACTGTCACCTGGAAAAAAGAAGAGGTTTACTTCCCAAGAAATGGATTCAAACTTGTGTAACACAACTTTACAGTTATCTGTGTTCATATATTTATGGATTTACAAATTCTGCCACGAGGGTGGAACATTTATAGGACATTTGTTTTCATTGGCCTACTTTCAAATGTATTTCAAACAACATGCAGGAAAATACTCAGAGAGTCAAATGTTGGTTAGAGTTGTGTGATACATATTTGAGTGGGCATAGAAAAACTGATGGGGGGGGGTAATCTAGTTGTGCATGTGTGTGTGTGTGTGTGTGTGTGTGTGTCTGCTTGGGTACCTTGCTGGGATCCCCTCCAAACCCTGCGATGTTCTGTTGGACCCAAAGGAGAGCCGCCTGCTGGTCCAAGATCCCATAATTTCCCACAGCTGAGGTGTGGGGGTCTTTCCCCGACACCAGGAACCCAAAGGCACCTTAAATCATGCACGAATCGACATGATCAGAAAGATGTAAGTGACTCCAACCAGACATTCATTTTCCTCCGTGCCTCTGTTTTCAGTGTTGCGGGACAGCAGAGTAATTACCAACAGGCTCAGTCATTTAAAATAATAATACTGCACATCATCAAGCTTCACACACATACACTAAAGTACTTCAACAACAAACACAATATTATTTTAACTATATGAATAAAGAGCTCCACAAGATGTTTGCTCCAGCTCCGAACAGTACAATTAAGATAATGCCTTAAAGAACCTCATTGATGTCCACATTAAAGCTCCTCACCCAGTCTGTACTCCATGCTAACGACAACAGTGTGTGTGAAGTTACTGATGAAGCGTCCATCATACAGCGGCTTGGAGGCAGAACCAGCGATGAAATCCCCGCCGTGGATCCACACCATGACGGGCAGTGTGCTCCTCAGAGGGGAGCTGAAGTCCACATCCAGAGGGACGAAGATGTTCAGGTAGAGACAGTCCTCGCTCACCTTTTGAGGACCAAAGAGAAAATGTTCATTAAATCTGTTGCTCAAAAACAATGTCGGTTGGTTTTCATCTTTGAATTTCTGTTTGTTCTGGTACAATTATCTTTAATGTTGATGTCTTTTTAACAACTTTTAGGTAACACACAAACATTTTAAAGGCTAACAACATTGGGTTTAGGTGAAACAATGAGACTGTAATCAATTGAAACTGATGTTAAGATACTAGCTATAGCTTTTTAATGGCTAATTAACTACCATTAGCTACTTAGCTAGCTTACTAATCTTACAAGATAAAACTCTGCAGGTACAGAGATGATCCGAAATGTTTTTGTGATATTGGAGGAAACATACATTCAATATCTATACATCACTATTTTGAGTTCCAAATTATTAAAAGGCTTTTTTCCAGGTTTTCCAGAGGGACAGCATGAAAAAACATTACTGGGAAATGTATGAAAAGCTCTTTTGGTAAGAACAAGTATGAAGGCTTTTAGGATTTTATCAATGAAAACGATTTAAATTAAAGTTATATTTTAAAAGCAATGCATGGGGGGGGGGGGGGGGGCGCTAAGGAAAAAGGGTTGCTAAACCACTGCTTTAGAATCATGACATCATTATTTTTGCTAGCCCTGGTAAAGCTTTTGCAGGGAGAGACAGTTGGGTGTATCAAGAGCTGCACAAGATGAAAATACAATTTCTTGGCATACAATAGTTGTATTGTAATAAATAAATACCATCTTGGAGTCTGAACGATCCGTCTTAAATATGTGCATGGCTTAGCTCAGACTCGTTAAAATATTGGCTGCTCTTTAGTTCTGTCAACTTTAACTTAGCTTTATGCATCTATATGATGTCCTTGTATTTAAATCTCCTGTGAGGAGTTTTCTTCTAAAAAAACTAATTAAAGCTGATGTCTTTATGTTAATACATACAAATCAGCATAAAGATTTACTGTCTCTAAAGAGTTATATTTTATTGCCAGAATCCTCTCGATGAGTGATACATTTGACTCTTTCAACAAAGCAGGATGAGATTTTTGTAAAAAAAAAAAAAAAAATGTAAATCACAACTGACACGTGCAAGACAAAATAAGCCAAGAGATAATAGGTACCACTTTGTCGACAGGGGTCGCCAAAATCAACAGTTACCAAAAGTTTCTGTGCCAAAGTACCACAAGTTCAAAGTCTTTTACCAGAAAGTGAAATATCACCACAATTATATAATTGTTGTTGTATCTTACTATCCGGGAACACTCCTCTGAGATTGGTCCACTGCAGGCCTGCATGCACGCCGCCCTGGGAAAGGAGGCATCATAAACCCCCGGCCAGGACTCACAGGTCTGGGGGGCTTCCAGCGATAAGCCCCGACGGGAGGATCCGCAAACGGCACCCCATAGAAAATATGACTCTTATCCACCGTCACCCCCTTGATCTGTCCGTCTTTAGTTAACACCACAGGTCCCGGAGCTGCATTTGAATCCTGTCTGACTGGTTTATCCTTGGTCTGCTCCGTGATGGAGAAGTCTGCAGGGCGTCCCAGCTCCTTCAGGGAGTTTATCTCAAAGTCTCTGTTGATGATGAACGGCTCGTCTCTCACCAGTAGCCCCGAGTAGATACTCCTCAGAAAGCTGACAAGGTCGATGTCATCATCATTTCTTGTCTGCTCTCCCGAGGCAGGCACTGAACTTAGTGTGCACAGCAGCAGAAAACAGAGCCAGCTCTCCATATTGTGCTAGAACACTCTCACACTCCTCCAGACTCTGCTGCTCAGATCATGATTTGTAAGGAATAAAGCAGAGGTAGACGGCTTGCAGCCTGAAACTGTCCGCAAACTGTGCACACTTGTGACTCCAATTTAGCTCATGGCTTGTTAAGATTCATCAGACAAAAGCTGCTCTGTGTGACTGCTGAGTGCCGTCCAGTAGACCCTGAAAAGAGACAGTGATGCAGGACGACTAATGGGGACAAGTCGTCTGTCCTTACCATAATTTAATCACAGTGTCACACACAGAAGGTATATGAGGATAAGTTATTAAAAAAAGCTTCAGAAATAAGCAAAAAGTGTTACATTTTTATCCTCCTGTTTTTGTTTGTCAGTGACTGAAGTTTCTTCAAAAAACAAAAAACTGTGCAGCTCAAAACATCACCTGCAAACGTCATCAGGCTTTACATCGCCCCCTGCAGGCCTTCTGCTGAAACAACATGCAGAAGGATCAAGGAGTCATGGAAGCGAAAGACGCACAAAAAGACAAAAACACATCAATTACTCCGTTAAATGGTAGAAGAACTTAAAATGAATCAATCTGAGAGGGACACACATCTCACTTTATATCTTAAAACATAATCTCTAAAAAGAAGAAACAAAAGGACAAAGCTTGATTTTAAGGTGTCACATTACAAAATAATTTTCCTGACAATGCAAAAGATTAAGATCTTTCAGACAGCGTACAAGAGTTTGCATGCAATTTTTTAAGTAGGCTACTTTAAATTCTGACTTTGCCCATTTGTTTTTGAGTCCCTAAATAATCAAACTAAGAAGATTTTTATGTTGTCAAATTGTGTTACTGAGGAGTACATGTCATTAGTGGGGATAGAAAGGGTAAACATTTAATGAATTTGTGGACCCACAAACTGCATGCCACCCCTGCATAAGTCAGTGCCCCAGGCGGGCCACCCTAGTCAGAAAGATCTGTAAACGCCCCTGGCTATGACCCTGATAAATAGTTATCTCATAGCCTTTAGATCAGTGGTTCTCAAACTTTTTAGACTGCATACCACCTCCGAAAATATTTGTCTCTCCAAGTATATCACCATTATGGTAGATGTTAAAATACACTGTAGGCCTATTTCTACACACATTTTACGCAGGTTATTTATTATTGACTGTTGGCAGCCACACTACAGGACTACTAAGGGCTAGCGCTAGAACTGACACTTAAACTAACACAACTCTGACATTTACCCAAATCAAAAAAAAAGTGCAGCACAATAAAAAATACAACTTTATACCAACAACCTGTTTGAGAATATTTAGTCTCCAGTGTTTCCCACACGAACACGTCGTATATTTCCGGCCATTTATTCATAAAATTGCTGCGTGCTTGAGAGAGAGAGAGAGAGAGGGGAGCGGGGGAGAGAGAGAGCGCGAGAGGGAGCGGGGAGAGAGAGAGCGAAAGGGATCGGGGAGAGAGAGAGCGCGAGAGGGAGCGGGGAGAGAGAGAGCGAAAGGGAGGGGGAGAGAGAGAGCGAAAGGGAGCGGGAGCGGGAGCGGGGGAGAGAGAGAGCGAGAGGGAGGGGGAGAGAGAGAGCGAGAGGGAGAGGGAGCGGGGGAGAGAGAGAGCGAAAGGGAGCGGGGGGAGAGAGAGAGAGCGAGAGAGTGCAGGCGCGCTCTCCGCAGGTTCCGTGCAACCAGAGCTGCTGTATTATAAGTCTCTGCGCTCAACATAGCAAAACTGCCTTTCAAAAAAAAAAATCCCTCTCGACTCCTGAGGAGCGTTAACACTACAACCACCAAGACCGTGTGACGGACGGTTTGGGTTTTTATAATACAAATAACTCTTTTTAAATAAAAACGTACGAGCCTCTCATCCAATGACTTTTCTTAAATATGTGTCCTGTATGTTTTCTGAAGCCTATGTTTAACTAAAATAAAACACACAAGATTTCTGAGCATTTATACCTCTAACCGCCGCCGCCTTCATATTGACAGCAGTTGAAAATGATACATTTCTCTGGATTGTTTTAATTTTTATTAGTTATTGTTTATATTTATAGACTTCATATATATGCACAGGAATTTAACAAAGAGCGACAGATAGATATACAGACAGATAGATATACAGACAGATAGATATACAGACAGATAGATAGGATATACAAATAGATAGATAGAGACCATAAACAGATAGATACATGATCATTCTTGAGCCGGCAAAGGAACAGAGAGAGGAACACCTGCGTGTCAAGGCCAGTCTGACGTCGATGCCCACTGAGCCACAGCATCCACAAGAGCTGAGAAGGAGGCAGTGTCAGACAAACACGCACTGCAAGAAAAACATGACCATTGTCTCCTGCAAGGGGTGCAGGCACCCTGTGAGTGGGAAGTGCACCTTAAAGGTTGAACACTTTTACCGCAGGTTTGTGCATCACGTGCCGCGGCGCTGTCCAAGGTGCTGATCGTTCATTTGTTCATCTGTTTGTTTGCTCGCCGCTGCATCTGTTATGGATTTCTGCAGTTATTTTTGTAGGTTATATGGTTTGTCATGCCCATAGATAGCCGTGTTGTTGTTGTTGTTGTTTTTGGCGTGCGTGTGTGTTGGTCAATGATTTCCTCTATGTCGGGGAAACAAACCCAGTTTCAGAGAAGACGAGAAGCATCAGCCCACGTACCACCGGTGGTACGCGTACCATAGTTTGAGAACCACTGCTTTAGATAATGATGCATGAAACACAGTGTTTAAATGACGTCTTCTACATTATATTACCACAGAAAAAGAAGAGTAACCGTCACCGTGTTATATCAGGATTTCCAGGAACTTCTTGACTCAGGTACTGCAGGTACCTGAACGCAGCACACACCTGTCTCTCATTAGGAGTACGTCACCTCCACCTCCAGCCTAGCATCGACCCTAAAAGAAACACAACGTGCGCTCCTTTGACGGAATTTCAAAGAAAATGTAAGAAAATACGATTTCCCGGTTGTTTCTAAAGCTCTCTTTTCATTTGCTCTCAGTGAATTAATCAAATGTTGTTATTTCAGGAACTCCTCAATGTTTTCTTTCATCTTAATACTGCTGCATCGTTTGATTACGTTTGGTGAGTAGCTCAAAGAATCGGACATATTAGCCTTCAGTTTACATCATTATTTGTAGATACTTAAAAAAACGGTGTTTCTTCAGGACGAAGCGACGACGTTTCCTTCTCTATATGCTGGATGGCCAAAGACAATGTTCTGGAGAGGTAAGCACGAGAAAGTCACGTGTTTGACGTTTTGGTCTTGAATTGCTTTATTTTCTGTGAAGATAACCTGGCGCCAAACTCCACACATTTAAGTCTTCTAGGCTAATTAGCAAGTCTGAAGACATGGTAAAACATAACGGGCTTATGTCTTATGACTCAATATATATTACTGATGAATTCGGCGTATTTTAGAAAAATGTAATTTGAGTCTTCATACGTTTTAACTCTTAATGCTTTTAAACGTACATTAGCATCAAAATTAAGCCCTATATGTTCCCTCAGGGATGTTTCCCCAAGTTAGGCCCTATGTTCCCACTGGGCCTTTTTATGGCCTCCAAGCTACGAATGACAGTATCAAATCTATGACTATATATGTGGAAAGCTTAACATTACACCCAGTGGTGTAGTGGTGCCTTAAGACGTGGGTATACTTTTTTTCTTTTTTTAATGTGGCCCGTCCAGAGAGGATATGCCCATGTAGCTCTCCTTTTGAATATTTAGTTAGTACCATGAGCCAATTAGAGACGGAGTAGGGAGAGTCCTCCCTTTACCATCCTAGAGAAAACATTTGCAGCGTACCACAGATATTGGTGTGAATCAGAGGAGATTTAGATGTGGGTATACTGTATGGAGACTGAACAATCACAAACAAGTGTATACCCTACACTACACCCCCTGATTTTTTCAGTGTTTATCCCTATACCCCAGCAGATGATGTTGGGATATTTTTATTGATTTATGTAACAGGGACACATACAATAAGCAGTGCTTTATATGTCAAATACACTAAGATGTCATCAATACAGGTTTCTAGCTGTGGCAGCATATGCATTGGCTATTCTTCTCGGGGTCCAACACACGTACAGTCATACACACGTATACGCAGTACAATATAAAAAAAACAAAGACAAGCAGGCAGGGGACATAACCCTGACCTGTAAGAGGGCATGCTTCAAAAAGAGCTTTGTCCCCTCAGCGATTGAAACCCTAAACAAGCTTCCACGCTGACTGGGCCCCTTGCTATGTGTTTCTACCTGCTGTTATATCTTTTTTCTTTTATTTGTACATTTAATTTAATTCAAACAAACAATAAAGTTAAGAAAAACAAACAAACATAAAATCTCAAATTTTGAATGAAAAGGAGCAGAAAGAAGACTAATCTTATAAAATCTGCCCCTCTTTCACAAAGCATTAATTAAAACAAAACAGAACAATTAAAATAGATTGGCTACAGGCAAACACAGCCACTGTCAGCCCCATCGTAGGTCCTCCTTAACAATTTATTTTACACCGTACAAAGCATATCACAATACATTTTTGTCCCAGCATCACGAAACAGAACATTACATCTCATTGACATATTTCCTCATATTTATTCAACAAACTGGCTTTAATTTTTCTTTTAAAGATCATGTTTGATTTTGATTCTTTAGTTTCTCTGTTGAGATTGTTCCATAAACCGATTCCTTTCAAAGTAAAACAACATTCCCTCCATTTGGTTCTGAATCTCATTTTATTAAAGATCTGTGTTCCTTTTAAATCATAACGGCTTTCCCTTTTTTCAAATCTGTTTTGAGTGTTTTTTGGCAATGTTTTCTGATTAGCTTTAAACATAATTTGCAGAATACTGTAATCAACTAATTCATGAAATTTCAACAACTTTAACTGAATGAATAGCGGGTTTGATGGATCTCTATACCGACTTCTACTTATGATTCTTACGGCTTTTTTTTGCTAAATGAAAATTGAATGGGTGGATGTTTTGCA